GCGATAGTTACTGGCTTCGCATCTCAGTGGGAACAACTTCAATCACTGAGAGGCAGGTACATCTAGCTGACTAGTCCTAAACAGGAAGAAACGCGTGTCCTGTATTTCATTGCTAGTCATCATGATGAATACTATATACTGATTTCATTTTAGATAACCAAGTGATTTTCTATCTCTACTTCTATGCGATCTATAACTAGTGAATTAAGTGTTTCAACCCACACATTGTACATCACTTAGAACTAATTCCACGTCAATGATGTAAAGAGACTGAATGATCCAGAAGCAACAAACAGTATATTAACTTATCTTGATGGGCATCGAACATACAGATATAACTCATAAAGTTACTTCGTTGCCATGTAGAGTAGACATACAACAGAAGATTGTAGGAGTAGTATTTTGAAAAAAACTGAATGCTTCGATCTATATCTTCAGAGAATCATAACGTTCACACAATTAAGATCCCTCAACTCTCATATAATTAATGATACGATTGTCAATCCCTATTTTATATCAAGTTTTTATTACAATAGCTTAAAATAAAAAGATCAACCACCCGAAAGGTTTAAGAAAGAATTTGCATTCCTTCCAGTGTAAATAAAGAATTACGGATAAATTTATTCTGATAAACAGGATTACCGTTTCACATGAATTAATGGATAACACTGAGAAGTGATAATTCCAAAAATATTAGGAATTCAACTGCAAAGGTTATAATACTTTGAAAAATTTGAGAAAATCCACCTTATCAAACTACAAATAAGATCTAGCACATCAATGTAAGAATAAGACTTGAGCTCAGCGGTAAAGTAAAATTCCATATTAGATTGTTTATTTGACATAGCACACAGTGTGATACAGTATTATTTACTGGATGATGTTTCGAGTAGAATTTATTGCTCATGTTCATGTTAAAGTGATGTGAATATTAACAGCTTTACTACTATGAGAACTGCATATAAATGCTTACGCATACGTCACCTGATTACACAGAGGTTGACCTAATCGCGGGAGAATTTTTGTTAGACCTAGAATATGCAGATGACATAGTCCTGTTAGGTGAAGACGCTGACAAGATGCAGTCTTCTGGACACTGAGTGGCAATTTGAGAATGTTTGAGATGCGTTTGTCACCACCCAAATGCAGGTTGTCACACCAGGATTGGTTTTCAACGGTCCCGTTGTAGGGAGTGTAGTGGTTGAGGGTGTTGACCACTTCCCTTACCTGGGAAGTTGGATCAGCCCTGGTGGCTCAGCGGCCGATGGAATCTCTGCACAAATAAGAAAGGCTTGGTTGGCTTTTGCCAACTTATGCCATCTGTGGCGTCGCCGCGATATCCGGTTGTCAATTAAGGGTGGTGTTTACTGTGTCACAGTCCACTCTGTTCTACTGTATGTCTGTGAAACATGCCCATTAAAGGCAGGTGTTTGACCACCGTTGTCTTCGTAGTACAGGCCGTATTCCGTAGTGTCACAACGTAACGCAAAAGTCGGGTGTAGAGTTTTGGGGAGTAGAGATAAGTCAGTTGACATGGTTGTGAACCTTCATCGACTGAGATGGTTACGACATATGCTACGTATGTCTATCCACCGTCACACAACGTTGGCTGAAGTAGGTTCAGGTTGGAAAAAGGCTCAAGACGGCTAGACCAAAACATGGCATCGATATATGAAGTCTTTGACTGCTGGTTTGAACTATGTGGGGCGATGCAGACTGGGTGGTTGGGGTCTGCTGGACAAGAGGAACCAGTGGTAGGAGACTGACTCTAGGTGACATGGCTGAGAACCGATGTCAGTGGCGTAGATATATCCTCACACACACATTATTTTCATCTTAACGACGCCATACCCAATCTCACCATTTCCTCGTTCTTCCTTTCTCTCTTTTCGTACTTTATATTTCTTTTGACTGGATTTTCTTTTCTTCATCTTCCACTTCACTGCCTTTTTACTTGATTTACTGTTATGAGGTGTGGCAAGGAGGACCGTTACGCAGTAATGTCTGGTCCTATGTTGACTTGGATGGATGATGGATGGACTGTCAGAAAATCCCCATGTGAAAAATGACGTAATCTTAGAGTATATGCTGTTAACAGTCACTTGTACAAAGCAATATGAGTTGGCTGCACTCTGCATATATTAAGGACGAAAGACTATCCATGTGTGGCGAAATAATTCCAAAATAATCAGAATTATATATCAATGAGGCGATTTGACATATACTAGTAGTAAAATACACGACCAACTCCAACACTAGAAAAGCTGTTGCACAGTGAAAAAGTAGTCCTCTAAAATAACTATGAAAAGCACTTTGGTGTATAGCTAAGAGCGTATTCAAAGGAAGCTAGAAAATAATCATCTAGCATTTTATTTGCGCTATATAGCGGATTGACAGAAGTTGGAAACTGTGGACCGTTGAACTCAGATCCAGTGGCCGAATGGTTAATGTGTTCGCTGTGAAACCTGAAGGTCCTGAGTTCGACCCCTGGCTGGATGGTGGGTATATACCGCTAAGGAGTTTCCTATAGTTCTCTAAGTGATGCTAGGTCATGATGAATGCTACTTTAAACATAAAATCCCCATGAACTTCAAAATAAATAAGTACCTTTATCACTATAATTACTGCATACTGCCTAATTTTCCTCACGGACTATAATTTTTTAAACACCATATACATAAGAATGTAAAGCTTGAAAGTAAATTCGTTGAAAAGAGTCTCTTCACTCAATATGTTGTTCTTAATGTTACAATGAAGATAATTAGATAACTAAGATTGCGTTTATACACAACGGTCAATAGTATTTTCTTGTTCTAGAACCTGCTGGAGGGTGAAAACATGATCGATGAACCCCCGTCTAAATCTGAAACCTGACTGGTTTTCTCGAGTTTCAGTTAGGTGTCAAATAACTACGGACCCCAGGATCTTGCGCACAAAATTAGTCAAACTAATTCCTCTATGGTTGTCACAAGAAACCTTTTTCCCCTTCTTATAGACTGTGATGATCAGAGAAGTATACCAATTTGACAGCTGTAGTTTCCTCTGCTCTATTATACGGCTACGAGACGTCTGTTGAAAGTAGATGGTATTCAGAAAATACATGCTTCTGACCGGTGTCTTCACAGAATCGTTCGCGTAAGGTGGGATGGGTGGATGGGTAATAAACAAAGAAAGGAAGAAAGTTGATGAGGTTATGAATCTTTACTTGATTACAGTGACCTAGTCATGTCCAGCACATACCAAACAACTGCCTACCTCGGAGTAAAATATTGGCCAAGGTAGGATTGGGGTGGATGATGATTAGGTGTAACCAGACTAAGATGTGGCAACAATTCATGAAGTCTCGGACTATAAGTATGAGCCACAGGGGGATGTGAACTAACTGGCTGGGGTCCTTGAGATAATAAGAACCAATGATTGAAGACTCGATAAAATGGCTCGAGATCGATTACAACAGTGAAGATGTATTCACCTTTTGACACCTAAAGCTTGAAAACTTTCAGTAATCCTCACCTTTTCCTCTCTCATCCCACACACTTTTATCTACTTTGACGCCACTCTTTTTCTGCCCACTTGTCCTATGCATTTTGTTGTAAACTGGGGCAACTTGAACCAATACACTTCTGTTCAAGGTTCTGTATTGGTTTAGTCTACTGTCTGCCAATCAACAACAAACTAACTGTAGGAAATTCTTATCCCTTATTCCAGTGGCACCAAAGCTGTTAAATGAATCACGATAAGAAGTTACACTGTGTACATATTCAATATACGTAAAGCCCAAGAAAAACTTTCTGGAAAGTGAGATTACTACAAGTTTGGCTTTAAGCAGTCTGTTTATAGGACATAAATCCTAACTGTTTACTTTTGAAACAATGTGACTAATATTTCTCTAAGGAAGCCAGTCTATGAATATGGCTAAAATGATCATAAACTTAAGTAAGAGAAACTACTTCAGAATAACTAACACTAATGTGATGTTAAATTACGCCTGTAGACTACTTAGCTAATCTGTTATCACCACCCCAACTAATTAGCTGGGAACTTTAACGTCGACCAAACATAATCATAGATTTTCTTTTCAGAATCCGTATATAAAACCCATTGCAGAAAGATACTAGTTTTATTTTTCCAATTACATTACGACAATTGTTGACGAACGAAAATGAACACTGCAATAAGGACTTTAAGTGAAGCGAATACCATGAATACTACGCCAAGTACTTAACAATCCCACCCGGTTTTATCCATACTGACAGGTGTTGCCATGCTGAAACAAGTGAAACGAACGAAACGCCCCCAGCCAGCTTGTGCTTACCCCTGCCAAACCTATTGTGTGAGATAATGATGTTACCTGACCCCCAAATTTCAGTAGGCGGAGCGGGGCTCGAGCCCGTGATCCAATAGTTGATAGTCATCTCTCACGTCACGTATTCATGCCTTAGACATTTGCTGTGATAATAAAGACGCTAAAAGATGAAGGTCGTCAGAGAAAAGCAATCTGATAAAGCAAGTAAAGAAAAAACCGGAAAGACAAAAGTATTTTCTGTTAAAATACTTTTGGAGAGACATCCGTAATGTATTGTCGACCCATAGAGAAAACGCCAGTTGCAACACTGTTTTAACTCACTCAAACAGAAAGTTAAAACACGACAGATGATATCTGGATTAACTCAGCGCACTGAATTCCAGATCAGATTAGTCTATCTGATATAGCATACAGTGATATACTATTATTTACCAGTTGACGATCTGAGTAGAATTTATTGCTCATAATCACAACTACGGAAAATTATACCAGGAAAATGTGGTTACCCTGACATGATTATGAGCAATAAACTCTGCTCTAATTGATGTGTAGTAAATAATACTACATCGCAGTGTGTTATGTCAAACAGACTAGTCTAACACTGAACTACATCCTACTATAATGCCCCAATTATACACTTAAATTAGTGAAGTCTGTGCACTGAACTAAAATCCCATATAAAACACTTTGAAAATGAAGAAAAATTTCTGAATTCTTATTTGATTATATTTACAACTTTGGCGCTCCAAGAGCCATTGGCATTTTTTCGATAACTACACGATGGCTACGAATATACATAATGGGAACACCTGTTATTTTTCTGATCCGCCGTCTCAAGTCTCGGTCACACGTAGCAACGATGTAACAGCGGGATTTACAGCGTTCTACGAGGCAGTCATCAGCGTATGTACCCTTGTGCTGGCAAGTCAGCCTCTGAATCCTCTCATCACGAAGGATTCTAAAACAAGATTAGGAGGAATCACGTGCTCACTTTAAAGCTACCCGATATCTTTCTGACATTTTTTCTATTTCCCCATGACACAATCAGTAACATATAAAAAACCTGGTCTAATATGAACAAAAACAAAAACACTTACATTTTGCTAATAAGCAATCCATAACTGACTTAAAAAGATCCAACCGGTTCTTGATAGAAAAGTTAACATAATTCGTATCAAGAAGTATGTGGTAGGGTGGTCCAAGGGCTTCATTGTAGGAATCCTTAAGACAAGGGAACACTTCTGGGTTGTGTTTAACTGACAAGTGATGAGTAGAATCTTGTTTAAAAGGCGTAGTCTTTTTGAACTGATCACGTTTTTTTCTAGATAAAATGAACTTATTTATGTGATCGATTACATTCGCGAGTCTTTCAAGGATATCATTCGCTTCATAGCTGCGAACCTCTTAGTTTGCCGCGCCTTCCCCATACTGTAACGCTGTGGTGGAAAACCCCAGACTTCATACCTTCAATTAGCAAGTTCTTTCCAACATCTAAACAACAATTGTGGGAAAGTAAGAAGTCGACAGTTTCTAAGTCCTCGTGCTTATATTTTAAGGCTTGGTTTATTCTGTTCTGTTATTCCCCTTAAGTGGCCACACAAGTCTTTTTACTTTACCTAATTACAGATTTGTGGCTACACAGTAGCTGTATACTTGAACGTGTTCATTTGAAGATTCTTTGCTAATAATTTGGGTGAGCGATAGAACTGTCGGCAAGATTAGTGAAATTCTAATTCCCTTCTTCATAGGTACTTTGTCAGCAAGTATATCCAAAAAGACAAAAAAGGAAAATAAAGCATATGCACAAGAAACAGGAGGGAAATCCAGGGGAAGTAGAGCAAAAAATAGTAGGGAGATACGATGGATTTACCATTTCTACCTGTTTCCCCCTCGACTGTCTTCTCCTCCTCCCCCCCCCCATATATCGACCCATCCCCTCGCTTTGATCAAAGCTTTATTTTGTAAGCGGTGTGAGCTACTGGGTGAGTAGAAAAAGACAGGGATGAAAATCAGTAATAGAGACCAGCAGTTGCTTTTTGCCGTCGAAATTTATTTGCAATAAGCTGCATGTGCTCTCGTACTTGTCCAGCATTTGTTTGAAAGATTTACCTTAGGGGGTTGTGGCTGCTACCTTTAGCAGAGCTGTAGATTACGCGCGCACGGCATGATAGAAGTTAGATTTGACACCAGTATTCTTTGGTACGTGATTAGGGTTCCCACTATATCGCTAGCTTCCAACCGATTACACTGTTCTGTTTGGGTGGTTCACTTGATTTGCTATCTTGTGGGTCGTTGTAAGGTTGCCGTTAGTACTGGTGTAATTTATGCCCAAGGAGTTCAGTCCTGAGTTTTTCTCTTCAGGGACCTCTTTGATTGTTTACTTACTAAGGATGTAGCTGGTTTTTGCCACTCCCATTGGTCGAAGATCCGTTACCTTGCTCTTCCCCATGCTGAGGCCAAATCCATTTTCAGCTCTCCAGCACTCTAAGTGCAGCAAGCCATCTTGAACTATTTCGGTGGCCTCTTCTTTACCTACTGTCCTACATATTTTGGTGTCGCCGACCAGTAGAAGGATTTATGAAGAAGCCTGAGGGGACGCATCGTTTATGATTGATGAAACAGGAGTAGCCTATGACCACTCCTTGAGATACTCCTGCCCTCAGGCTCTTCCAGCTCGACTGGGTTCTGTTCACCGTAATGAAAAACCATCTGTACCCAAGGTATGCAGTAAACCAAGGTATCGGCGTTTCGGTGGTGCCCAGTTGTGTAAGGTTAACCAGCATGGTGCTATGTGGGAAGTCATTGTAAGCACGGAGTAGGCCTAGAAAGTTGATGCACACTGCTTCCTCTCCGTTCCATCTATCGATCTGATCATTGCAGACGGTCATCGTGTTTGTAGCGCATGGGCACTCAGTTCTGAAGTCATTTTGAGTAGGGCGAGGCGGATGTTAAGCAGGACGGCGTTTGCCCTCACTTGGCCCTAAACATTGGAAAATGGGTTTTCCAGTACCCTGGGTATTATAGACAGTAACGACAACGGCTTGGAAGTGCTCGGGTATTTTCAGGTTTTTCACTTGGAAGACTGATAAAAAGGTGGTGCTTTCCATTCCCATAGCCGTTGACTCACTTCGCGAATGCACACAGACACTGCATACGATAGTGATTTTCACTTCAGTGAAATTTGGTGGAGTCACTGCCACTACCTGGAGGTTAACCTAGGCTTAGTGGGTATAGCTACACAAACTTGGTTTGCAATGTATGTAGTCCCTCAGTTATGCATCACAACCCTTGAACTGCATTACACAACGGGTTGTTGGGAAACAGACTAATGTTTCAAGTTCCTCACCAAACCAGTTGCTCAACATTTCCCGCATCCCCATGCTACCCAAGGCTCCACCACTCAGTCGTGCAGTGGGGCTAAAGCCCTTCCTTAAAAATCATTGCAGCAGCTGATGTCCGTTGCACAAGAGGTGGCTATCGTGCAGCAATTGCCTATAGGCTTACCCTCTAGGGTTTGAAGTGGATGATACTGTGTTTGAACCTCAGTGGGAACAACACCGCCCACTGAAGTGCAGGCATACCCGGTTGACGATTCAGAAATGAAACGAAATGTTTGTCCAGGATTCCTCTGCTAGTCACCAAGGCCTACGTAATACCATTAATATCCGGTAGCACCGAGGCATCCGGATAGGAGCCCATCTGCCAACAGCGGTCGTGCAACTCGGCCCAGGGTAGTAACGGGAAATTACAAGTGTCACCGTAACCACGCTCTTTCTCGTCAGTTTTCCCCGTGACACAATGCAGTACGGGCATTTGAGTTTGTAACCTGATTTTTTAGCCAAGCTGCCGCAGAATTTGAACCTATCGTTGTTTAATCTTATTTTACATAGATTGCATAACCACTTGTAGCCGGGCAAGTTAGATTCCTAGCGAGATGTTCATCACTTGTACTTCACACTCTTTCCCCGCCTTGGTTGTATCGTGCAAGTCACTCAGGAACTCTTCAAAGGTGATCATCCACCTTCTTCTGGCACTTACTTTAAGATGGGGCTGCTGATAATATTTATAGGATGTATCCCTTGTTTGTCCGCCAAAAATGAACCCATACTCCTAGCCATGGTGCATATAGGGATTGTTCCGTAATGAACTTCTGGTTTACCTCCCGGTGGAAATGAGATTGTTAAGGTCCAGCTGCCAGAAGCTCCTTCTTGGCCGTTACGGGAAATCGTGCTGGCGTACGATTGTATTTCCGTAGGGTTACACATTGATCTCAAACTTCAAAACGCCGTCACCGATTGGCCAGGCCATTACCTTTTCAATCCAGTCCCCATTGGATGCTCTTTGCTGATTTTCATATTGATCCAGCCGTCAGAAAGGCATCCCGAAGTCTTCGATTCAGTGATCTATGCCCGCACCTGCCTCGCAACCCCAGGTAAGGGCCGGTGAGTCGGTCACCAGTGACGACTGCGCAGTCATAGCTTAGAGAGATGGATACCAAAATCATGTCGGCCACCAGTTCTTAACCCTCTGTTGTATTTATTTAAGATCTGTATACAATTGTATGCAAGTTGTTTTGTGTTGCTCAGGGTGCAGCGGCCGCAAAATGAGACTGACGGTCAGATATTCACATCATTCATTGCCATTTCAGCATGATTTCAAACAGTTGCCTAAGAATCCTTTTTATTGCATCAGGGCATGATATTAACAGGTTTTTACACTCCCGATAAAACTTTAAAGCGGGCAACTGGAATTAAAACCTTGACAGCAGCTCGGTCTCGTAAATGAGTTGGTAGAATACCGGAGTGGTAAATCAGAGGTCTCTGGCGGGAATCTTGGTACGACAAGCATTTTTAGTTCACCTCCAATTATCACCCAAACTCAATTCACTTTGTCCAGAGTGTATCTTCGAAAATTCCATCTCATCAGGAAGTCCACCACCCAACCACTTCCATTAACTGAGAATACCAAGAATATAGATGCCTATTTTATTTGACATCCTTGAAGTTTAGTTCCTGTTCGCTTGAAAACAAGACATGAGCTTTGTATCAACTCGTTTTAAAGCCTGCATGCTGCCACCCGCAAAGGTGGCATGATTCTGTGTCAGAAAACATTACTGTATGAATGACAGCATAAATTTATCAGTTCCAGTGTCACACTCAGGGCCTCTTGCGTTATATCGAGATCATGTCTAATTCCCTTGTGATGACAATAAGCCACTAATCAGCACACTGTACAGCAAAGCAAGCACCCAACTTGACTTAGCTGCTCCCTCCAAACAAACCACGCTCAGCCTAGACTGATCATCTTGCTCACCTTGAGGACAGTGCGCAAAATAGGAAAGCTCGTAAGGGTATTTGGAACCCGCAATGAATTTCCCTCGCTTTGCAAAATCATGGACGTTCTCACAAGTCGGGGGATATTCGCTCACCGAACGTTGACTGACGAAGAAGTTCTTATCAGTCCCTCCAATACTGTTCAGGTACTCACTTGACCACCCAAGAAACTATCCAGATCTTCAAATCACTCTTACATTCCTGACGCTAGGTTCGATGAATGCATCACAAATGATACTTCCAAAATTCGGAACCCATTCAACGAGTGTTTTTCTCACGTGCAAATCATCTCTGCGAGCCCTTTATTCAGGTATGTCCTTTCACCTCCTGGTCTTTATGCTGAGTAACTCTCATTCTTCCTCTTAGCTGTGGCGGGAGTGAGTGACCTCAAACAGTCATACTGTCCCGGCAGCGATAGTGATCCTTTCGCTTTTACAAATTTGGTGGGCCTGTTATCTGCTTCAAATGTGCCCGCCTGGTCTGTTCATAAGCCCCACCGCCGTGCACTCTGAAAAACCACTCCAATTTTTCCTGGGCATAAGTCAGGTTGTAAACGCTTCATCCGGTTGCTATCCCATTCAAACAACCGTGATTATGTCAAGATTACTAGAGGAGATCATCATGGCTTGGGACTGTGGGTTCACCGAGCTACTCCAACACTTTTAATGGAATAAGCTTTCAATAAGGTCTCACTTCCCTTCTTGCCGTTGGTATCCATGACCCATTATTGGGGCAGTTTTAGTCTTCTCCAAGAAACTAATATTATTTTGTGAATCTGGACCTCATCATTTTCTCTTCCGACAGCATCTTCAGCGGCCTTGTTTAGGGTAGAGTGCTTAGACCACTACCATTAGTGACTCATTCCGAGGAAAAATTTACTTCTTTCGATGCGAAAGGTAACTCTTATTCACAGGCAACTCTAACGTTAGCTACTGCCCCAAAGAATTTCATGTGCGGCGGATATCTTCAGTGACAAAAAACTTAATTACTTAGAAGTCAGAAGTAAACGCCGATGATAAATCCAGCGGCATGTACTTAGACGGATAGCTGCGTGTACTTGCCGTATATAACTGAGTCAGGCTACTTCAACCGCAGTCTACAAGTTATACACAATTTC